GTAAATATCAATCGGTCATTTTGTGATTGAAACGATAACAATGCCACATAAGTCCTGTGGCCTTCCATTGCCGATAAAAATCATGTCCGACTGACTTTATAACAAATTACGAGGATGCGTTATGATATTAATTTAATTAGATAATTCTGTTATAGAGATATTTCTAAATTCACATACGAATTCGCAGAGTAAACGGTTGATAAAACAATCAAGTGTAACATGAATTTTTCAGCGATGGGATGTAGCGCATATCTTGATCACAGGCCTCCCACGCTATATTGTTTGGCGAACTGACCTTTACTGTTGTTGCCATGAGTTGGTCAATCAATAATACGCTTGAGAAAAAGGGGTAAAAGAGGGATCAAGATAAAACGAAAGAAATTCATTTTATTTACCAAACCGAATACAGAACAACAATGTTTAAAAATGTCTTGAGTTTCTCAAGTTCAATTTTAGTAGTTCATTCAAAATAAGCCACAAATTAAACGTCACGCTTTAATAGCAGCTTTTAATTTTTAATCAATAAGCCATCGATAAGTATATCTTCACCGAGGACAGATGTTAACCCCGAGACAGCAATTGACGGCCGCAGCAGTTACTGTAGTTAACTTTAAAGTGTATATGACACGATATTTTTAATCCCCAAATATGTGTTAACTATCTATCGGAAATTTAAAATCGCCAAAAGCTTTGCAAAACGTTTTTTCGTCTTCAAAACACGCAAATTTCCAGCCAAAAATGACCTCCCTATCGCGCGGCCAAATTGACAAGTATGACAAAGAACGATTTGAAAGAATGTAGAATAATTAACAAGACGGCGGCAAATACGAAGGATTGTCGTTGTTGACGTCTCCCCAATCATCAGAACCATTATTTCAGTACTTCGCTACACCTTTCATTACAGTAAGATAAATTGCCTGATTCTACGAAACCCAGAATCAGAATCGGAAGCGAAGGCTAAGCAAATCAACTGACATCACTTGACGTCATCAGCCTTTCTTTCATCCTTTACTAGCTACCAGAGTCTGCGACATTTTTGAAGGGTAAAAAGCAGTTTTTGGACGGCCGATACTCAAGGAATATTTTGAAAGACGCATTTTTAAAGTTCATAATTGTTAATTAAGCTATCTAACGACCTAAATCAGTTAAAAAAATTTCACATCATCTACGCTAGCTTTAAATGATTATGGCGATTGATTAATAATAATGAAAGAGTGCACAGAATAAGACCTCAAGTGACTGCTGACATAATGTAAAATTCTCCTTTTGTTTCAGAAGCAAATGTCGGGCAATTTGCAAGGAGAATCAAGCAGTCTATCAGGTGTCGTTAAGGGCTTTGTTTCCAAATGCGCCCTCTATCAAAATGAAGTTGCACGATGAAGAATAAAGATAATACTACTAACAAAGAATGGGACTTGTGTAGTATTGAGAATTATCAGCGTGATGTAGTTGGTTTTGGCGAACAGATCCACTGTCCGAGAACAGTGACACAGGCGTGTACAGGAAACAGGATATTCGACAACAAACGTTCTCCCTACATATACACTCCACGCCCGGTCAGCAAAACGCCTAAAATGCACCCTGAGAATTACTTTTGCAATTTGAGCTCTAAGTTTGCAGGATGCATGGTAGCACTTTGTATTCCAAACAACCGTGTTTTTAGTTTTGTTTTTTCAGCCGATTTTAACATTTTTGGAGAAAAATGACGTCACAAGATTGACGGCAAAATTCAAATTTCAAGTAATGACGTAACAATTAGGTACTTTTTAAAAAGCCCCACCGTCTTTGATAAAAGGTGTGGAGACAAGGTCTGGAGAATTTGTAAGTGGACGCATGGGATTTAAAGGGTCATTACTCACTTAGCAACCACTCTAAAGGTGAAAGTCTTTTCGAAAAATGAGCCTAAACAACCACATAAACAAAGCCAAACAACTCCCTGTTTGAACGAACGGGTTCTTAAAACCAGGCTGAATTCAGGCTGCAGTTATTTAGTCCATTGCGTGTTCGCGTCTGGAACATTAAACGAGGAAAAATACTGCATTCTTTTTGTTTGGAAAATTATCTGAAAATAGTTAAAGCGAAGTAACATAATAGGCAACAACAATACCTAGAAATGGGAAATTTGTATCGCGGTGTATCGCAGAATCAAAGCGAATCTTGAAGTTAAGTCCTGACGAAGGGGGGTGGGGGGGGGGGGGGAAGGTTAAAAAACGGATGGGAGACTAGCAGTGAATATATTCTGTCGTATGGACTTCTCTTCATCTTAGAAACTGACGTGAAATCTTTTCCTTATCTTTTCCCGTAATGTATAAGGGAAAGATTTCATGACAGTTTAAAAATCTCAAAATTTACAAAAATTTGTATGGAAAACATGGAGAAACCGTGAGTGGATGGAAAGACTTGTTTTTCCCATAAAAATCCCTCTAGTTTTCGGCGGCCGTTGCAGCCACTAATCAAAAATACTTGGGAGACATACGGCTGAAAATTTACGAGTTACTTAATTTTTAAATACTCTTTCAGTTCGCGCTAAAATCGTTTTCCCAAACGGATAGACCACTCCGAGTTGCCCCAAGAATCTATTTCAAAGCAAGGCTAAGTTCGAAGCCATTGATTAGGTTTCATTAGACAGGCATGTAGACAACAGAAACTCGCAAATAAGTGTGGGTTTTTCATAGACTCAAACATTAGCCGCATATACCACATGCCCTCATATGATTTATATTATCAATTAGGGTATATGTCAGAAAAAATGTACTGCCATATAAACCTAACTAATTGATGTCATCCAGAATTATTTCAATTGGTTTGATGGATTCGTCGGTTTGGACCACGCAGAAATATCTTTTACTGATTGAAAACTGACTTGCGAGCCTTGTATGTGAAACTTAATACGAATACATTAAAGCCGTCCATTAGTTAGCTTTAATTTTGAGTATTTTTTTTTAATAAAATAGCGGAAATTGGTATTGTAAAATATATAATATTATCAGTACTAATTCGTTCTTGTGGTTATCCTGATTGAAATCGTGTTTTTTGTTACGAATTAAAAAACCGACTAATGGACCATTTTCGAGTTCCAAAATTCTCTCAACGAGGCTAAGGGCAGAACCTTTCTTGTGAAAATGACTTCATTTGCATGAGAATAAAAAAAATGATTTTCGTATCAGCCTCGCTTGGAAAGAGAGACTTGGAACAACTTGGAAATGGCCGGCTATTTTTTAGCAGATATATGACATTGCAGATAGTGTTGATTGAACCAGACAAATGCTTAATTTAATTAACCTTCAAGTGTATGAGAAAAAATGTCGTTGAAAACTAAATAAAGATCTCTTAATGGACGCAAACAAAGTAAAAAATAGCATAATACATGACGCTTGAGTGTCAAATCATAATCTCACGAGTAAAATTGAAAGTGGGTAAACGAAAGAAAAGTCGACTTGAACACAAAGACATAAATTACATTCCTCGAAGGGTAGACTATGCATTATTCTCTTTATTGTATTTATTATAAGCACCATACACTCCAGTAAAATAATTATATTTCCTGATTAAAAAAGAAAGCCAAGGCCTAAGCTCTTTTTGGTCCCTTTTTAATCAAACCGAGGAATCGTCAGCTCCACAATTAAAAGCGATTACTTAACCGACTTAAAAGGCAGGTGTTGTCATGGGAACACGAGTAGGTCACTGATTGGCTGATATTAACACACGTAAAATTAGTGGATTTCAAGAACGTGTGTTTGTAAAGAAACAATGTTTTTTTCCATAGCAGAAATCCCTGAAAAACACTAATAGTTTATATAACAACATGTTTTTTTTGTCAGTTCAGAAGAATGTTTATTTAATTCTAATCATTTACCGGCTTCTGTGGCATAGTGTGCAAGTATTGGGGATCATAAAAATTCGACCGGTATTTTCTTTAACTTTACTTATATAAAAAAAAAAAAAGAGTTAATTGAGGAAGTTCTTTGCTTGGGCTAAATTGAGTATTATAAGATTTTTTTAGTGGCTTAGGGGCGTGTCTTGATAAGGCAATGTTTTTATTCGTTTGGTTTAAATACACTTTATGAACGCGGTTGGCATACGGTGGAATTTCCTTCTTACCGTACGTTATTTTTTGCAAATAGAGGTAAAATTAAATTAATTAGGAATGAAACTGATATAATGAGACAATTAGGGTAATAGAAGAAGTGCCTATTGATTTTCTATCGAATAATAAACGGGATTGCAATGGATAAGGAAAACCGGAGGACATAAATACCCGCTGCTTTAATTGGTGTGTTTGAGGATCACTGTGTTATTTTGGACACTTGCTTTGTTTTGTTCACGTTTTTTTAATGCATCTGTGGACAATACTGATGTTTATCTTAATTGAAAAGAATAAATAAATTGATTCTGAGTCTCGGAACCAGGTTGAACATTTCACCCGACCACAAGCCTCAAGTTACGTGCTCGACATTTCTTTTAGCCAAGACGCAAACTCGGCTATACTGAAAGCTCGACCATTTAATAATTGATGGAGCGCTTTCGCTCCTACGCTTTTAAATCTATTTTTTTTTGAATTTACTCTCGCGTTCCGATAAAAAACAAATAATTCACGCACCTGCTGAGGGAACAAATACGTATACGACGATATACAGGATAACTGAGAATTTTTGTCACGGCTTTTTACCGCTTAGTGGTGAACTCGATTTTCACAAACACAAAGAATAGTTTTAAAAATTAATCGCAATGCCCATCTGTTTGGGCAATTGACGGCTAGTTTACATGGGAAACCTTGTTTATTAGCTCATTAATGCGCACAATATAAGGTCAGACCGGCGACGTAGACAAATATTAACTAACAGTTGTAAAAATTTGAAGCTCTTCAGGTTTCTGAGGTGTTTGGTGCAGTGAATGCGCTGTCTGTCCATGGGTATGCTTGTTATTTCAAAGAACATTGTTCTAGCTGTGAAGAAGGTCGTTGGGTGTTTACATCCAGCTATTGAATCACCACAATTACAATGGAGCACAATACTCGACGAATAATTCTTAACGTCCAAGGATGTCGCTTTGAAACTTTTCAGGCCACGCTTGATGAATTTCCTGATACTCTACTGGGTTCGGAGGAAAAACGAAGCAGGTTTTACGACCCGCTGCGAGACGAATACTTCTTCGAGAGAGACAAATATGCTTTTGATTCCATTCTCTTTTACTACCAATCCAGGGGAATTCTTTCTTGCCCTCCAACTATATCACAAAATACGTTTGATGAAGAGCTCAAGTTCTACGAGATCAGACCGAAAGAGCCCGAACAACAGGAAACACGAGTTTCAGTTATGCCCTTGAAAAAATGGCAACGAAAAATGTGGAAACTTCTTGAGTATCCGGAGTCTTCAAAACAAGCTGCCTTTTTTTCTAAACTCTCTATGCTCGTAATTGTACTGTCTGTTGTAGCGTTCTGTGCAGAAACTCTCGACAAGGCGTCAACAAGGTCCTCCATATCGTCGTCTTTACTCAATAACACCAATAACGAAACTGCCAAGATAGATCAATCACAGATGAATATGAAGAGGTCAAGAGTATGGTTCATAATTGATACCTGTATTATAATCTGGTTTAGCATGGAATATCTTTCCCGGCTCGCATCATCGCCTGATAAAGTCAAATTTATCCGCTCAATGTTAGCGATAATTGACCTGTTAGCGATAATACCATATTTTATATCTTTAATCTTAGGCGATAGCTTCGCGCCTGCGTTTTCGTTCACCATAATGAGAGTTTTTCGTCTATTGCGAGTAGTGCGACTGTTAAAACTCACGCGCTACGTAGCGGCTCTAAGAATTTTGGGTCAAACTGTCCAATCCTGCCAGGAACAGCTTACAGCCCTGATGTTCCTCATATTAATCTCAGTCATATTGTTTTCAAGTGCTATTTTTTACATCGAAAAGGAGGCAAACCCGGACAATTTCAGCAGCATTCCCGCCTCGTTTTGGTGGACAATCATCACCATGACGACTGTCGGTTACGGCGATATGACGCCACAAACACCCCAGGGGAGAGTGGTTGGAGCAGTTTGTGCCGTATTTGGGGTAGTTGTAATGGTTTGCCTTCCTAGTCCTGTATTTATTTCAAGCTTTAATGAAATTTACGTGCGATACATTACCACCCTCAAGAAGAACCAAAAAAACACATCCAAAGAGAGCAGCAGTGAAACTTGGACAAAATGGCGGAAGGCTCTTACTCCTTCAAAGATGATGATAGTAACTAGACAAAAGCCTAACACGATAAACGATAAGACGTAGATTTTTAAATTTATTACTCCTTTATTTTACCGAAAAATAAATATAAATTAAATATAATTTTAAAATAAAATCAAGAAACAGCTCGAGACCTCCAGTCTTCGAGGTAAATAGAAGTGAATAGTTTTAATTAATTTTTTTTACAAAACCATTTGTAAGCTTTAAATCCACTTGATATTTGCGTTTTGAATTCATTTTTACCATGACTTCTTGTCTTATGTCAAACAAATATAGGAGTCGATATTGGGTATCAGGATCACGCCGGTTCCTGTTAAAAACTCTCGAAACCTTTAATGACACTTCTCGTGATCAATGCATATAGATAAAACACAAACCTAAACCGATCCCACTGGTGTTTTCATGGTCTCCAGGTTACCGGTGGTTTCGATACAAGTTGATTCCTTCGCGGTGTAAACAGTTTCACGTACTTGGCTTAAAGAACATACGTAGAATATTCACCCAAAATGTTTTTCTTGTTCAAGCAAACTTTACTTTAAGTGATCAAAATTTTGTGCAATTTTGTATCGAAACGATCGACTTGTATCGCAACGACCGGTTTCCGGTCTCTGATATACTTCATGGGTCTGTATGGTACGTTACAACAGGGTTATAGATGATAAAGAGCCATTATTTATAGGAGCTGTGTCTCGAGGATATTGCTGTCTTACGTCAGTTCTGTGCTGGAGTCATTACTTAATGTCTTCAGTTACCTATACTGACACAAAAAGCTCCTGTCGAGTTATGGAGAAGATATCATGCAAACTACATCGGGGAGCACTACCCAAAATAATTTTTTGGTGAGTTTTGCAGCCACAGCATTAAAACTTGAAAAAGTTGGGCCAACCTTTTCAAGTTTCAATCCAAGTCCATCCTTGCCATCCGTTGCAATGGACGGCAGGAAACAGTTTAACCCTTTTAGTCCAAATATCCACATACAAATTCTCCAAACTGATCTCTCTATATATTTCCTATATATATATTTTAAAAATTAGTTAAGAGAATCTGATAAAAGATCAAAGTATTTCCTCTTAGGTGATAACTTTATTAACTCTCATAACCTCATCTCATGACAATGTATGGATATCGTTGGGAGAAAATTGCTGTTGGTCACTATTGGAACTTAAAGGGTTAAAAGCCTCAAATATAGTCCTAAATGACAAAAACTGGACCATTATTTTTGTAATTCAATTGATGTGAAAACGTTTTGGCCATTTTGAAAAATAGCAAATAGCGTGACCTAGCCACTTTAACGTCTCGCCAGCTGATTATTTTTCTTTGTTCAAAAAAAAAAAAAAAAAAGCCTTTATTTAAAGAGGGTAGCACTTAATAGCCAAAGGCTAATAAACTTGTGGCCCTCATTTTAACGTCTCCTAATGGAGACGGGACCGCCATTTTACGTGGTCATCCGAGCCACGCGAAGGTCCAGCCGCCCGCAGGGCAAAGGAAGTACCTTCATTTCTCAGTTATTTTAAGACCCTAAGTATTGGTCCGGCCCCGGGAATCGAACCCGCGACCTCCCGCTCTGCAGTCAAGCGCTCTACCGACTGAGCTAATCCTGCCGCGGTTCACGGACAAAATGGCAGTATCTGTGATAAAAATTAACAAGGATGCTATTATTGCCTCTTTCGTGTCATCGTACGAATTAATTTTAGTTCTTCTCGAGTCAGTTTTGAAATCACTGGAAAGAAAGGATTACCTTGTCATTAATTTTTCGAGCAATGTTGGAACCTCAGATTTTAAACCATTTCGTGCGCGTCTCTTTTTTCCGAGGTGTTTTTTATACATATTGCTAAAATGTGTTACAAACACAGGCAAAGGCAGAATGAAAAGAAGCAAAATCCCAAGGACCATGCAAGCGCTGGCTGCCAATTTACCCACAATGCTCTTGGGAACGACATCACCATATCCCACTGTTGTCATGGTGATGACTGTCCAATAAAATCCATCCAAAATACTGCTAACCACATGTCTGTGTTCTTCGGCATAAAAGAAAAAGCTGGAGAAAAAGATGACGGCCATAAACACACAAAGCATTAAAGACGACAACGCCGGCCATGTACCTTTGAATGCTTTTCCTACTGTCTTCAAACCCTCACTGTAGCGACTGAGTTTAAAAACTCGAAAAACGCGGCAGAGACGAATGATTCGCAAGAAATTGAAGGAGTTTACTTGGGGGTACATTTCCGATCGCCAGCCGCAAAGTGCCGCCGCTATGAAATACGGAATGATTGCAAATGCATCTATGAGACCAAAGAAGGAAAAAACAAATCTGCACCTGCTTGGAGCTGTTAAAATTCGTATGACATATTCCATCAAGAAAAACACCACTAGAGCTGTTTCCAACACAAACCATACTCCAAAATGGTATACGCTTGTGCCGGCCAAAGTGGTACAAGTGGCTGAGCCAATCAGATGACAGCTTCTGTTAAACGTTTCCTCATCGCTAATATCAGTTTTATTACTTTTGCCACTGGTGTTGTTTGTAATATTTCTGAAGCAGTTAAGGGCTGGTATTGTCTCTAGACAAAGCACGACGACAGAGAGCAGTATAGCTGATATAGAGACTCGCCCCAAAATTTTACCCGCTAAACTTAGTCTTGGGTATTCCATAATCAACCAACAGTTGTTAAGGAGTTTTGTTGCACGTTGGTGGCAGTTATCATCGGGACTTATTTCCATAAATGTTTGGACATCGGAAGGGGAGCTTGAGACCTTGCTGTTAGAATTTCGTTTAGAAGCATCGTCTAGCTCTGTCTTAATCTGGAAGAATTCTAGTTCCTCCTTGAAAAGGTCTTCAGGGACGAATTCCGGTTTTGCGAGAATACCATTGGACTGATAGTAGAACAAAATAGAGTCGAATATGGCTGGATCTCGATCCAAATAATACGTCTTTTCAACAGGATCGTAAAATTTGTTTCGTTCACTGGGGCATCCGAGCATAGTATCTGGATGCTGTTCCAACGTGTCCTGAAAAGTCTCAAACTGAAGCCCTCTCACATTGATGCGAATGCGTCTTCTTGCTTGTAATGCAGGGCCATACTGAACCTGTGCCAAACTCGAGTGAGGAGTTTGCAGTCGTTTGTACTTTGGAGGAAGCGGTGTTAATCTTCGCGGGCTTGAGTTCATGTCCTTAAGACGGCTAAACTTAAATACAACAAAGGACAACTTTCAGCTGTCGCCAAAACTTTAAACTTAAAAGTGTAAATACGCGCATCAAAGTCTGTTTGACGTTTTCACGGGACATTTTACGTTTAGCATATGCGCTGATATGTTATCTGGGTGTCTCATTGGTTTTGGGTTGGGATAAAATCAAAAGAAATAAGATCACCCGCAGAGCGAGAGAAAAAGAAAAGCTCGCTGCGTTGATTAACGTATTTTGCAGATAGCCTCATGTCGCGTGTAATGAGCGTCTAGTTGCACTTAAAACGATCCAAAGGCTTCAGGTGCAGGTGGCTTTTAATTTAAGATGGTAGTTTTTGATCGACATTACATTAAGAGAAGCACGATCTTCTTTTTTAGTTTTAACATTAACCTGCATCTTGCGTATGCAGTTGCTAATTTCATCAAATACCAGCCATAATGCAGCATTAGCACCTACAAGTCGTGCTATGATTAATGAGCGAATAATCCGGCGAAGCTACTTTTGTCAGGCAAGTAAGAGTCTACCCACAATTCCTAACGGGAGTTAGTCTTTCAGAAAAACAAAACAAAAAAAAATGATGTTGGAAGTTGATACTCAGGTAATTCAAACGGTATTGCGCATGCTCAACGTCTACTAAGTCCCTTATCCCCGCAGAAGCAACTAAAAAGTAATTTAAATCGTTATCGGGCTTCATCACAGTGGAAAATGGAGCGTAACTATGGAGCATGTTCCTTCATAAACGGGAACCGGCGCCGTTCACGATAGCAGTTTTCATAAATGAATTTTAAAAAAGCACTGATTTTCTTTTCAAACTTTCTTTTACTTTCTTTTTAGCTATGACTTCTATGTGCAGGTAGCTGGTTGATTCCCAGTTGGATTTATGCGTCTGACTGGGATCATTTTTACTAGAAAGTCAACAAAACAAAATATCACAAAGTTATATGAATTTTAAAGAAAATAAGGCAATCCTAACATTTTTTATTAGGATGAAGGTGTGCTTAATACGAGACTTGAGGTTGTTAGATCTTGCTGTAAATATGAAAGTGTCTGGAGTTCGGTGTATAAATAAACAACAAATCCTCTCTAAGGGTTGAATATTGAATGAAATTCTATTGACATTTTAACTAGATAATCGCTGTTCGATCTCTTAGTCTCTTTCTGCCTTACATAATATTTTCCCCATGTTTTGGATATGGTAAATAGTTCGTAATAAATGCTATGTCTACATACACCGATATACATACATTTTTTACCGTGAACTGGCATACTGACAAAAGCAGTCAACTACTTAAATAAACATGAACATTCTCAACTTAAAGGCAGCTGAAATTGAACTTCGATTTAGCGGTGCCAACTTAAAGGCAGCTAGTGACATTTGAAAACTTCGGCGGCGCCATCAGTTAAAATCAGTGACACATAAATTTCAATAAAATGTTTGTCTTCTGAAAACAAAAACACTAGTAATAATGGTTCGCCAAGTTTCAGTAAAAATCTTTTGCTGCATGTATTTTTAATAGCCGTCCTCTTTGTGTTTTTAAAAGAAATTGATAGTTAATAGCTCTTTCTTCAAGGAGCAGGTGGGCAGAGCAGTTAAGCTATGAGTATTTGAGGACTCACGTGAGACATTCAAGCCCACCACCGGGGTGACATTTCTTCAATTAAAGCTGCATAGAGTGCTCTCAGGTGAGCCTTAAGGTAATTACCATTTACACAAAACAATAAGCGGTTGGAAATCTCATGCATAAACAATTAACGATTAGATACCTGACCTTCTGAGAGAAGTCCACTACGAGTTTTAGCAACGACAGTAAAAAGTGTAAGCAAATTGCATCGCCTCAAATGACTCAAATTACAGCCTATA